TTTATTAAATTTCTGCTTTCAATAGTTACATCCTAGAAAATGTCATTTTCAGGGTTATGTTTTCAAATATATATATTGATGTATGCTTGTAGATCTAGAGAAATGTTAAAAAGAATTAGCAATAAAAGTGGTCATTAGGGTAAAAATGGGAGATATTTATTTTTGCAATTGGTAAGCTAATGACCATGAGGAAGGAAGAACATCTTATTTACTAACAGAAAATACCCCTCATCCTTGATAAATAAGGCAAAAACTATTGTTTCTAATGCCACATTAGATGACAAGGATCACCTCCTCTCATGGAGTACAAACTTAGTAATAGTTCTATCACATCTCTGGAAAACTTATCAAAAGCCTTGATTGTAAGAAGGCTACTTGTCCACAATGGCTGTCCTTAAAAATATTATCCCTCAATTATCTCCAATTTTAGAAACTGCTGCCTAAAGGGGATATCCTTCTCAAGACTATGGAAGATGTCAAATGTATGCCCAATTTTCAAGAACAATGGTGTGTACTCACCCCTGTCTTGATATCAGCCTTCTCAGTGTCATTAGCAAAGAAAGTTGTTGAGCACCTTAGTAGGTTCAACCTCTTGAGTCACAAACAATATGGATTTTGATTTGCTTGTTCCACTGCTGATATCCTAACTTATTACTCAAAGAATTAGCGAGGCATTACAAGGATGATTGTATTGGATATATTGAGGCTTTTGACAAGGTGTGGCAGAAGGTGTTACTACACAAATTCTCCAGCTATGGAATCACTGGATTATTATTAAGTCCTTCCTACCCAGTATATTTGTAAATGACCAGTCTTTTGAGGCCTAGGAGATCAATGTAGGCATCCCCCAATGTTCACTACTCAGTTCGATCATCTTCCTGCTTTATATTAATGCTTAAGAGCACACGCCAATCTATTGTGAATGTCTATATAGATGATACAACAGTATATAGGTGCACCTCTAAAAATCTAGATAACTAGAGCCTGGCATTTGATTTCTCCCCTGATCTAGCTTTAACAACTCAATTGGTGAAAAACTGGCTGGTCACATTCAATGCCTCAACCAAACTTGTAATGTTCCATCATTACTGAGCAGGCTTTGAATTTATCTATTTATTCTATTTATTGCAATGGATGGGTGTTATCTCAAGGAGTGCCCTCTCCTTGAATGCCTATTGGGACTTAAGCTCACCCCAGACCTTAAGTAGAACTTGTATATATGATCTATTGTTAGGGATGCTGGAAAGGCGGTAGGTTCCCTGTGCTGCACCAGCAGGTACCTGCTATGCTCGACAAGAGCCAGATTAAGCTAAAGATGCATTGCTGCTGCTATATCTGGGATGGTGCTGCCCGTTTCTCACTTTTTAGTCTTGATGAAGTTTGGGGGTATCTACACATCCTTGTGGGGGATTAATTGTTTTTCACCTTGTGGACCCTTTCCATGGGCAGTGTGTTGCAGGTCTCTCACTACTCTTTTGCTACTTCCATGAAGAATGTTCAAGTGAACTACATTTCTTAGTTCCCCCAACTCTAACTTTCAGCTAAGACCTGCCACCCAACATTGAGCAATCCATTTGTATCCAAGGATACTCGTCTATTAGGGCGGCTAGCCAATCCCTATTGCAGACGCTTGCTCAGGCTCATTTGTGTTTATTCAACACCCACAGAGCCTACCAGTGATTTATACTGCAACTATACTGAGCAAACCTTAGTTACAGTTTCTGGGAAAGAGCATGTTATCTGTCGTGATCAACAATTTGAACAAGGCCAACATGCTCAAGCCCTCAGCCACAATGACTTTTGACTTTGTGCTAGCACAGCTATCGACGGCACCTAAAGGTTCCATCTACCCAATTTCACTCACAAGGCTTGGGTCAACCCAGGGTATGGTTTTCAGGCACTTTCCAAAAGTTGCCGCACACTGGGATTGACCCCTCCAGTTCGATAACATCAGGAAGTCTCCTTCCTGACAAATCAACCATGGTGAGATTCGAACCTGGGTCTTATGGTCAGAATGCGAACGTTCTAACCACTTGGCCACGTGCCCAAGCCACCCAACATGCATTGAGGCGAACCACTCTGATTCTCTTTGTATACCTTTGGTAGAGAACAATTTCCACTCAGATATCTTCTTTTCAGGAATCCCAGTAGGATGCTTTCCTGACAACTATATGGTCTTGACCTCTTCAGGTCTAGGGTTAACTGTTATCTTTTCAACATGTATGTATAAACTGCACTCTTTACTTTTGCTGCTCACACAACAACCATTTTATTAAGCGTAAACATTAGTAAAAAATAAAAATTAAACTGTTGTGATATGCCAAATGCCTCTTTCTCACTCTTAGCAGGTGTACCTTGTCTAATATGGGCTCTAAGTTCCATGAGAGCATGATCTCATGAGAAAAGTATGTACCACAAGTAAACACATTCAGAATAATATAGGCATGTTTTATATTTTTTGAAAAGAACAAGTTCTTGCAAGAGATATGTTAGGACTTCTCAAGAAGATCAGTAAGAAAAACAACTTATTCAAAAAGAGACACAAAAACTATGGGATCATGTATAATCTGAATATTAAACCATATACTATAAACACAGGTGCAATTACCAGTAAAAATCTTGGCATGATTTGACAAGTTAATGACCGCTTGAGGAAGAAAGAACATCTAATTTACGTACAGAAAATGCATATTTCAAACAGGCCAAGATATGGGTGCCTTAATCTAATATGGACTGTTCTAAGTTTGATGAAAACATGATTTCATCAGAAAAGTATGAACTGTAAGTAAACTCACATTCAAAATCCTATAGACATTTTTGAAAAGATTGGGAAGAATTCTATCAAGAGATGTATAGTAGGACTGCTCAAGGGAAGACTAGCAAGGCAGTCACTAGAGCCAAAAGACACGCAAAAATAATTGTGTCAAGCATTATCTGAATGATTATTAGGTAAGGTACTCAGGATTTTCTTGAAAATAGAAGTAGAAATAAAAGCATTTCTGATCCTTTTTAGAGCAGGATCATCAGTAGTTGTCAAAAGAAACAAAACAAATGGTTTTAGAAAATTAGAAAATGCTCAGTTCTGATCTCAATAGTGTATGTGGTTTATTGACAAATTTGGGACTGTTTCTGTGGACAGGTTATTTAAGTGCTAAAGGGTTGCATTTTAGATTTTAAGTCCTAAAATATGAAGATTCTATTTTGAACATATTGTAATATTAGGACTTGACTCAATGAATCTAAATGACAATTTGTTTGAGCAATCTTAAATTAATGTGAATGTTAGTTTATTTGGACAAAAAAGGTCCAAATGGAAATTCACATCCAGATTCCAAAAATGTCTAGAATGCTAGAAAAAGATTTTTTTTAAATTTACAGTTGTGTATCACATAGCATCATTGAATGAAGCCTTCAATAATTGTCAGGACATTAAGCAAATTTCCATGTTTTTTCCCATGTATGGAAACTTAGTTCTAGGCTCCCAAATTTCCTGAAAATATTTCATTTTCATGTTTGAATAGATGTGTCACAGTGAGACAATTCTAATTAACACTCATACACCTCTGTATAATTAATACTACTTGAGATAATGAATTGATTTCAGATTGTTCCTTTATGTTCTATAGTGGTAAGATGCCCATATAAGCCAAGAGAAAACAGTATCCAGTCCTCATGAGCATGCAATGTTGCAATTCCAAAGACCAGGTGTCTTTTATTGTTAGGCTGTTAACTACCGAAAGACAATGTAGCAAAGAAGTATGGGTACATGGACAGTGAAATAGAACAGATACTACACTTTGATCATATGTAGACAGCATGGACAGTGGCACCTGTTCTGAGGCAGATGTGTTGATTTATTTGTAAGTAATCATATTAGTTTTGACAAGTACTGTATGGATATTAAATGTTAAAATCAAAAGAACACTGCTTCATTGGGTGTAATTTATAATACAGAATTTGTTTTTATTTTTTATCTTTTTCTATTAGGATTGCTTCCTTCCATTTAGCAGTGTCCCATTACTCACTTTTCTATATTGTCTGGAATTAAAATGTTGAATATTTTCTTTCAACTTGCTTGTTGGTTTTTAGGCATTCCTTTCTTGTTCCTCCATCAGTTTAGCTGTTCACAAATATTGATTACATGGTGCTAATTTTTGGCTGTTGGATGATCAGAAAATATTGAAAAGTAGATGCTATAACAGTTGTATTGTAGAATTTTAAGAAAGATCTACAAAACGTTATAAATTTTACATTTAACTACATTGAATGCTTTAACTTATTTAGTGTCTGTTTTAATTTGTGGTGTATTACACTGGTGAATTTAAGTGTCAAAATAAGGAATAGGTTATAGATCATATCACAAAAATCAGTATATTTGTTGGAATGAATAAAAGTTATTTTTTTAAAGATTTATATGAAAATGATTAGCAGGAAAAAACATCAATAAAGAATGATTATAATCAAGAAAATTATTATTTTTGATGTAGGGAAATATGTTTTTGCTTTAAAGGATCTTGCTTTGTTTAGTATGTGCTTAGTTAAATGTTAGTATTTTATGTTGTCACAAGATGAAGAAATGTTTAGACGTTTATATAAGTGTATTCAAATTTTTGCTTTCTGATTTGTCTGTCTCTTATTTTTAATTTGCTGTACTTAATAAACAGTGCTTATTTAATACTAAATTCTTTTGTTTCTATTTTCACTTTTATGACTTAGAAGCAAGTGATATAATTTACTAATTCATTTTGTTCAAATGTTTTTCTGATGAAGCTCAAGTACTTCAAAAATGCTTGGGCCAATTTTTCTTCATTCTCAGTTTGTGTTATTGTAAAGTCAGAAATATATATAGTTTTTTTAACATTTAATTGGTCTCTTGAAAACTTTAATTTAAAAATTTGATGAAGTTATAATGTAGGCATTCATTGATATTGCTTATGTCTTTCTCCAAACATGTTTTAAGTTCAGAAGTTGAAGTATACAGTTTTTGTGTTTTCTTGTAGATCAAAGCCAGCTTTGATGTTGAAGACATCTTGTTAATGTATATTGATGATGATAAAGAAAAGGTAAGTATTGCTTTTTATTTTGTATCAATAGAATTTGGTAGTGTTTTGGCATTGATATATAATCTGATAGCGACAAAAAAAAAAAATCAGTAAATAACTTTATCATTATTTTAAATGACAGTATAAGAAAGGTTGAGACTGAATTTACTACAAATCAATATTCAGTAGGTTGGCTCATTTTTATTAAAATGTATCACAATTCACTTGTAGCTCATCTTCTTGTTCAGTTTCAGAGAATATATTTTTTTGTTTATTTTGAACTGTTATATTTGCAAAGTTTCCTTGTGCAACTGTTATCAGCTTTTTGATTTTAAGCACCTAAACACAACCATATTAAAAAGAAATAATTACATTAATCCAAAAACTATATAAATTTCACTGCTATCAGATAATTCAGTACAATCCAAATTGCTTCCCATATCCTTTACATTTATTTATATCTTTCAGCTGTTGAGAACTATTGCCTAGTAATGAGCTGTTTTAATTCATTACTGCTTTCATACTACATTTGACAATACTTGGAATTATTGTACATGTTTATTGGATCAAAAAATCACATTCATTCTTGAAAATATTTAATTTACAAACTTATTAAAAGAAACATTGTAAAACAATTTCAATTATCTGCTTGAAGTAATTACAACTGTTCAATTTTACATCCCATAAGGAAAATCATTTTTGAGTTTTCTAATATCCCACTAGAAATTGTGTACAATTTTCTCATTGAGAGATAACAGTCTTAGGATATGTATAAAGTAGTAAGTTGGACAGGTTTATTACTCTAGAAAGAGGAAGACAAAGTCACTTGTTTTCTCTTTATAAAGTAACAAGTTTGCATAATTCAGCTAATTTATTTTGAAAACTACTAATTATTGTCAGTTCTCAGTTGTGGATTATAAGAGTCATTTTAGGGTTTACATAGCTAAAAATAAATTATATTATTTTCATCTTGGTTAAATTGTCTATAAAAAAATAATAAAAATGGTAAATGCTGAGTCATTGGAAATCCTGTTTAAGTCTTGAATTCACTTAATGATAACAGCTAATTTGTTATTTTATGTTGTTATATACTTATATTTACTTGAATTATACAGTATAACAAGATATAATCACTCTTTTGGTGAATACTAAATAGACATAAGATAGGAATACTGCTGGAAGAAAAAGTGTTTTGTATAGCTATTCAATATGTTGTTTGTACTATTAAACTTATTTTTGTGTTGCATATGTTGTTATAATGTTTTGGACAGTTCATTTTATGGACTTCTTCATGTGCACAATCTGTAAGGAAAGAGAAAGGTTTCCTATATAAAAAAATAGTTTATCTTTATCTGAAAATGACTGCAGACTGGATTGGTTGAAATAATTGTGGTAGCAACATAATCAATGCACAGAATGAGTTTAATAGCCCAAACAACTGCTATTTTAATGACTTCTCAAAATTATAGACTGATAAAACTTACTTAGAATATACCTGGTTTTATTTATTTAAAATAATTTTTAATTAACATCTTAACAACTGATAACTTGAATAGGAAGATATGTTTTATAACACACCACTGACTTCTGCTATTTTGTACATTGTTATCCTTCAGTAGTCATTAGAAACATTACTCTACTAGTTGCTTGTTTTTGCTTTATTTTGAAAATATCAATTAATATTGAACCATTTAATATATTGTATAAAAACTGTCTTATGTAGTCTTTCTTGAAGTCTGTACTAATAAGATAACAACATTGAATTTAGCAATCATGATATTACAAAAATTGAGTTCAATGACTAAGTTGAGAGTTAGGAGTAATTTAGTTGATTGTGACTCAGCGTTACTGTTTTCTAAGATTGAGATTGACATTTTCTAGCCAGGGTGAATTACTGATATCTGAATTTTCTTGTTTATGTGCATTTATACATAGAAACAAAACTGATTGGCAAATATATTGCATGAGTATATTATAAATTATATTATTTTAGATACTTATATAAAATCTAGGTAAGTTTTTCTATCCTTACAGTTTATTTATAGTAGTTTATAAATTGATTATGATATCAAAGTAGCCATTCAAATTCTCATTAGATGTTTAGCATATATTTAATAGCTATTTCTTTAATATAGGAAGATCTTATAAATGATCTCTTTGCATCTAGGAGTTTAGTTCTCTATCAATAGTTTTTTTTTTCTCTAAAGTATTTTCTTGAAATAAATAATATTTAACCTCAGTTGTGCTTGTTGGTGTATACTTATAATTAAAATTGTTTATTTGGGATTTATGACAATGAGAGACTGAGTTAAAAAGTTGGTAATAAATAGTTACAAATTAATTTTGTTTTCCTTGTTCTTACTTTCTGTTAGTGTGTTAAAATTATCAAGATTTCAAAATGATTGTTATATTGTGAAGAATCTTCAAGAAAATCCCTATTGGTTATTGTATTGACTATAAGATATTTTGGATAAATTTTCTTCTTGATAGTTGCTGATTGATATACAATGAAAAATGTAATTAATATATAGTAGCACGATATTGTGAAATAAGCTTATTGAGAGTTTGAAAGTGTGACCACTTTATGAAAATGATTTTGAACTAAATATTGATTAAAAGATTTAAATTTTAATGCTTCTTTGAAATTATATCCCCAAAGGATATTTTTTGGTTTTTCAAATAATTATGAATTTGAAAGTGTTTAAATATTTTCTCAGCTATATGTCTTAGGCAATACAATTTTTATCATAAGATTAACAACAATTGTAATTGTTATTTTAAAGTAGTTTATGATAATTGAATTAAGTATAATTGACAAAAATTTTGAGTGATGCTTAAAAGGAGTAGTTTTAGCTGTGGTTAGTGGATTAAAAAAATGCTCATACACTCATTTAGTGACATTTTTTATTACACAGATTTAAAAAAAAACTCAAATCAGATTTACTTAATCTAGATGCTAGCTGAATCTGTGAAAACGAATAAAAGCTAAATATTCAATTGGCTTTAATCACATCTTGATATTTATTCTATGAACCAATATACCAAGTTTGGATCTATTTAAGATCTTTCACTAAAAGCTATATCAATCTAACAGCTTTTGAATGACCTATCTCTCTACTAATTGCACACAAGAGACTGATTAGTTTTATTCTGTTATGACATCATTTTTTTAAATGAATTTGCAGATAATATAAGAGGACAAGATGCTATTTTTAATAATATGCATTTGTGAAAAACGTTTTGAATAATATATACATTGTATTTTGGTCTTCATTGTGCTCCCACTTCCTTATTTCTCTTACTAATAATAATTTGAAGAATAAATTATTCAAACTTTAGTCATACAAAATTGAAATTTGATAAAATAAATCAACACTGACAACTTTCCCATTATATCTGATAAATATTCATTAAAAGAAATTAACATAACATTTTCAGAGTCTGCCTAACATTTTCATACCATAATTTAAAAGGTATCAATTAAGGCAAGTTAGGATTAGATGATTTGTAAAACCATTTTTGAGTAGCTTGACATTTTCATGTTAAATATATTTCTTTGCCAAGATCACTGAATATATTTATACATTGTTTGAAATTTTGATTAATACTTCTTTGTAGATTAATATGAATAGTCCTGAAGAATTACATGAAGCCATCCAGGTAAGTTTTTCTTTTAAAATGATTTTCATTTTTTTAAATTGATTTTTACATCTAAATAAACTTATTGATTAAAGCATTTAGATACTGGATTGAAAGTTATAATTTAATATTTCTGAAGAAAATGACAGCAATGGTTGTTATATAAATTACCTGTTTTGTAATATCCATACTTTACTCAATTTGCATAAATATCAACACACACACACACACACATGCAGGTATTGCAAAAAACAAGTGATACTTAAGGTGTAAACTAAAAAATGAAAAAATTTTCTTGAAGTTTTTATTTTAGTTTTAATAAGATTATTGCTAATAGATTAAATTTGATATTTCTAATATGCAAAATACTTTGTTGTATTTCAAACTGAATATAAAATCATATTTTTCTGATTATCAGTAAAATCAATGAAACCATCCATATTGAAAAATCTGTCAACATAATTCTATTTATTAAATAATCTTTCTGAAATGTTATATGAGAAAAATTTGTTAATTTAAAGTTTAATTAATCTGAATTGAAACAAATATTACTTTGAGTTTAAAATATCACAGAAAAGCATCTTTTTTAACATAGAGTGGGTGTTTTTATGAGTTGTTGACAGATTTATTGATAGCCTGATGTTTGAGAAATTTGACTAAGGGGTACACAACTGTAAAAATTACTTGAGGAATACAAAGTGAACACCATTTTTATGTAATTTATTTTAAACTACCAAGTAATCTTAAAAATTTAAGAAAATATTCTAAGTAATCTGATAAGCATTAAGAATTCAAGAAGAGACAACATGTCCATCTGAAGTTTCAAGAAATTAAAATGGATCAGGTAGGCTTGGAATTTCTTAATTTCTTGAAACTTTGGATAGACATGTCATCTCTCCTTCAATTTGGAACACCACAAATTATACTAACGTTGGTTTAAAGAGTCCAATGCACATGAAATATGATTGACCAGTGGAAATCAAACAAATTTACAAATGTAAAAATACAGGAATTTCTTTCTTCTTTTTCTCCATATCTCATTCTCTGATGAAGCTTTAATAAAAGTGAAACATGTTAGATTGATAAATGTTTCCTATTTGTTCTTTATCTTATATATATTTGTTCATTATATTATTTTGTCCTTTTTAATAATGTTCTGATTTCTGTCTGAATTTCTGGGATGGGGAATTATCGTTATTTACATTTGGATTAATGTTCTCACCTTTGTTATTATTATCACAATGTTTCGTCCATTATGCTCTCTAGCTTGCATCAGGTCCAGGTAACCTACATGGAATTTCAAACTGAACACTTATTTTAATCTATGGGGTAGATTGTTCTCATACTGCTGGCCATGTTTAGCTGTTTTTTTTTTTTTTAGTACTGCTTAGTTATTGTTTTCTCTGTTTTCATTGGGTTTAAATTTGTACTATCCAGCCCAGGAATTGAACTCATGCTTACTGTGCCCTGGGTCAGTTAGTGTGAACTTAGTTAGAATGAGAATAATCTAACTTCATAAAAAGTGTTTTTGTTTGAAAAGCATAATGGCAGAAACATTGAGATAATAACAACAAAGATGAGGACATTAGTCCAAATTTAATTGTACAAAAAAACTTTTGATCAGTGTCTCTTTAATTCTTTGTTTCAATAAAATACAAATCTTGTGAATTAACTAAAACTTCCAAATATTTATGTTTTGGGTATCTATGAAAATTTGCATTAATTTGTTGAGGGCAATGTACAAAATCAACTTACTGAACTTTTCTCTTCAAATTTGTTTTTTAGCTATCCTAAAAGTTTAGGTGTGCTTGTAGCATGGATATTAGCATGTAAATTGGAGTCAGAGAGCTGAGTTCTAATTCCATGCTAGTCTGTTGTGTTCGCTTTCAAATATATACCCTTGGGGAAGGCATGAATCTGTTTCTCCTTCCTTCAGCTAAGATTAAATAGCAGAGTAGATGGGGCTCTCTGGTCTTGAAGGCAACCACTCTAAGTAAAGGAAAATTCTGAATACCAAACTGGAGAAGGAAGCAAGAAACCATTTGACTACCATTCCCCAAAAGGCATGCTGTAGAGAGTCATGACATGTGCATCTTGAAGAGATATGGTATTAAAAAAAAGTGTTTAAATCCTGATATAGTATAAAGATAAATTAATAAACATCTAGATTATTAAAAGTAAAGTTTCTTATTTTTAGGCTGTTTTGGTTGAATTTATAGATACATTGAATTACATGAGGAATGATAATGATTAATCCCCCATTTAAATCTTTGTTCTTATATAGCAATGCTTTAAATTTTGTTTTCTTGATATGTTTTCTTTTTTTCATTATCACAAAACAATTTCTGGACAAAAGGATAATAATAAAATGAATTGATTTGACATTCTTAAAGCCAAATATGAATTTTATATTCTCTATGTACCTTTGTATAAGTAATAAGGATTTGATTTTATACAGTTTAAAAAAAATTAGTTTATATACTCGGTATTTGTTTTCAATATTTCTTTTAGCATCTTTAGAAATAAATTTAGTGAAAATTATTTCTTTTATCAATAAAATATTTGTTCTTTAAGTAGACAGTTTGATTTTACTTATTTGATGCAAACTTTTGTTTCATATTTCTAATTTTTTTCTGAAAAAAATTTTTGCAGGTTGGTAAAAAGAATAATAATAACTTGGACATTGTGGTGCATTTCCCACCTGCTGGTAGCCACAGAAATAGTGAATCCCATTTTCAGTGTGTTATGAACTCATCAACTGACTGTTCAGATTTGGAAAAAGGAAAAAATAAATCCGTGCAGTAAGTTAATCAGCATTAAAATGTTCTTAAATAACTTTGCTTGGTTCATCTCTCTGAATAGAAAGTTAATGTAAATTGGCCAGAGAAAAACAATTAAAATTACAATTGGTTTTGATAAAAATAAAAACACAGGATTTGATCTCTAGACATTATGTAGATTAAGATTTATGCAAAAAATCAGAGGGTGGCTGCTGGAAGACCCTATATCTGGCAACAGTACTCAAGCAGGAGAATCCTGTCATGACTGTCAGACAATTTCTGTGGCCACATCACCCTTTACATTTGGCCACCTAACTCCTCAGACTGCAACCCTCTTGATTATTATGTGTGGGACACAGTTGAGTGAGAGACCAACAAAACTCCTTGTAACAGCAAAGATGAACTGAAAGCAAGGATTATGGTAGCATTCACTAACTTAAACAAGGAGAGTGTCCAGAAGAGTTGCATGAGATTCTGAAGTCATCTGGAAGTTGTTGTTGAAGCCAGAGCTGATTTATTTTAATAAATTTACTCTTATATATTGCAAGATATTTTTGTGCAATTTTGGTAAATATATCTGTTAAAATAATATCAGTGTTATTTTCAATTTTGTGTAATTTAGATGACAATTTATCCATCGCGCCCAGTATATATTAAGAAATAAAATTTATATAACATGATATATAACTATTTTTGCCTATAAATATTCCAAAAATATTTTGTCAAGAATTATAACTATTCATATTGAATTCATTTTGGTCAGTGAAGATTAACTATCAGTTGTGTTTAAAATCATAATCATTTTATTCATTGTTCTGTTGAATGAGATAAATATTTCATATTTCAGTGAACCTTCTGAGCTAACACTTGATGAGGAAACTGGTGCCGTTAGTGGGTCTAAGGTGAGCTCACTTAGATTTTGAAGTTTTTATATATTTATAATGATATTCTTAACTTGAGTAATGAACATAAATGTGTAAGCTATTTCCTTCAAAATATTGCTGGGACTGTTTCTGTTAATTTTACATAAATTAAAAGAAATATAGTAGAATATTTTGAGAAAACTCTTTTTTTTTCTTCTTTTTTGTAATATGGTAGCAGTAATGGTGAGATTAGCCATTTCTTTATAAAGATTGCTTAACACATTGACTGTCAAGCATAAGTTATTGAATGTTTGGCATTTTCTAATACATTTTCATCTGCAGGTGCCAACAACAAGTTTATTTGCAGTGATACTTTTAGTGTGAAAACAATGTTAAGATTTCAGTTGAAGCTATGAATCAACTCATAAAAATTTATTTTCTAAGTTGGCTTTTTTTTTTAATCGTTTCACCCCAAGCAAGGCAATAAATCCACTAGGGTGTAGGAGGTTACTGAGTGTTAGAGAATATAAGAAAAACTACTATTAAGGTGAGAGGAAAAATAAAAGAATAAGAATTAAGAAGACAAGATAATGATTGACATTGCATTTAAATTTTTGAAAATCAAAGTTGACTGGGAAGCAAGAAGCCAGAAGGGAGTACCACAAGGGAGAAGTGTGAGAGAAGAAACTGTTAGCATAGAACATAGAATTGACAGTTATATTTATCCATTTCAACTGTAAATTGATGAGACCTAGCTGCCAATTTAGTATTGTGCTTAAATTCATAAAGTCTAGGTACCATAGAGGAAAGATCATTAGAACAATTATCATGAAAGTATTTATAGAAAAGTCACAGGGAAGCTACATTATGGTAGTGGGAAAGAGACAAGCCAAGATGCCAGGTCAGCACCAATATTGCTGATTCTTCTTTGAATTTTATCAAGAATCTCTAAATATATAGCAGAAGCACCAGACCAGATGTGGCAGCAACATTCACAACAAGGACTAATTGTAGACTTATAAATATGTAAGATAGATTCTGGTGAGAAAAATTGTCTAGCACGATGTAGTGAAGCCAACTTTCTTAGCTGAAGACTTAGCAATTGATTCATTATATCCTTTCCACTTCATGTCAGCTGAAAATTTTAGTTTGAGAAGAGAGGCTATTATAAAGTTGGCATTTAAAGTCAGATTTCATAATTGACCTCTGGCACTCATCATGTTAAGTATAGTATTATTTTAATTTGGAGATAAATTGGTGAATTGCTAATGCCATGCTACCTTTTACCTATTTACATTTGATATGATTTATTTTACCTTCTCATTTTCTCTAAGTTGTTTTATTTGGTATATTTGTATTTTTCTGGTGAAGCCCACAAAAACCAAGCTTACCATAAGCAGTCCAGTTGTGCATCATTTTGCTGCAGAACTTGAATCTGACAAACCTGATGGAAGCCTTTGTGATTCAGAATCTGGTGAAACTTCACCTGCAGTTAGCAAAAGTCAAGAAATGATTCAAGAGAATTCTGGTGTCACCAATAATGTTTCATACCAGTCTTTGGTACAATTGTTGGAGCAGGTAAGTTTAACATTTTTTATTCCTCACCTTGATTCATGCACACAATCTTGTATGTCACTTTCTTTAAGTAGCTTGTTTACAATATCTGAGTAATTGCTGTAATTTCAACTCCTGAGGTTGGGTAGCTAATGTTTCAGAGTTAGAGAAGTAATGGAGGTCAGAAGAAATTTTCATTATGAAATTAAAAATTCACAAATGTTTTATTACTATTGAATTGCAACTACGTTTAAACATACCTTACTTTGAATTGTCTTAATGAGATGTAATTGATTTCTTGGTTATGTGTTGTAATTTTTAATTGTTTTTAGCATAAAAATTGGTGACTGGATTCTACAGCTTGTTTTCTTTCATTTTTTTTGAGACATGATTGGAAATTAAATATATATTTAATCTTGGAAAAAATGATAACTATCTAGAAATTTAATTTGAAGATGACTGGAGAATCAACCTGAAAAAACACAGAGATTAAAAACAGTAAAACAAATCTTTTCAGGCTTTATTAAATATAATTTTTTATTAACAATACTGTAGACCAGGTGCCTTAGACACTCTGTCTCTGAGCTATCTTTCTACAGGAAACAATTTTCACAACCAATATTTTCCTCAAATTTGAATAATTTTAATTATTTTGTCTCTCTTCCCTTTCATACTTTTGCAGTAGTAGTATCGAGCTTGACACAGTGCAGACACAGTGAATCAATTAATTTTAAGGTCAGCAGTGTCTGTTCTAGTTCCTCTCCAGGGAAGGGAAGAAAACTCAATTGCTCTACCACCATTAATTCTTTATCAACTACCTGATGAGATACACAAATGTATTTTACACTAGACGCTCCACTGAATTTTTGATACCTAAGTTTTAAAATTAAATTTTAAAAATGAAAAAGCATTCTTGAAGATTTCATTTTAGCTTTAATTGAAAGCTAAATGATTAAATTTATTATTTCCATTAAGTAAAATATTCTGGTGTATTTCAGATAGAAATTATATAGATTGGAATAATTGCTCAATTTTTTAAAAAAAATTTTTAAAAGTGGCCATTTACTTAATTTTAAGAAATTTGTAAACAAATTTATTGGTTATTGGTTAAAGATTTTTAAACCTTTCAAAATTAAATTATAGATTTGTGACACATTATTTGAGTAAAATTAGAAAATTTAAAGTTAAATTAATCTGATTTGAAATAAATATTACTTATAACATAAAAACACCAATATACAAGTATTTCTTGATGATGGGTTCCTCTTTCTTTGATCTTTATTGATTTATGGAGAAGGCTCTTTATGGATGACTAGAAATGACATATTTACAAAAACTAAGTGAACGCATTTTTTTTTAGTTTTAACTACTTAGTAATTTTTACAAATTAACATATTTTCAGCAATTATTTAATATTTTATTGACTTTTCGTTAAGTTTCGAGAAGCTTTATGAAATTTGTATTTCGTCTCTAGGTTTTTAAGTTTACTAATTTAAACAAAAATTTAATTAATCAAAGTATGACCCAAACTAAAATAAATACATAAAATAAAAATATTTAGTGAAATAGCAATTAAGAAAAGTAAAACTTTTTTTTATATTTTGAAGGGATGATTTGCAAAAACGTTAATGATGAAACAGAACTGAATTAAAAGTGAAATAATTGCAGTGCGTCATACGACACTTAAATCATGTGATGTTTTTAAGGATTATGTCATGTATAGATTCCCATAGGTAGAAATTAGGAATGTTTTTTCACTATAAATTATTTAAAAATTTTTTTTTTAAATATTTAGGTACAAACGACTGTTATGAGCTTTCAAATTTTGATTCGTGAATGGACTTTTCACTTAACGATATCAGCAAACTGCTATCTTGAAAGCAATGAAGAATTTTGAATGATTTTTGAACTATTATATTATTATAATTAAAATTTAAAAAAAATTAAAAAATTCATTATTCATCAAAAAAATTTTAATTCTTCAGACAATAGTGTCCTTAATATAACTTATTTACAAAAGCAATTAAAAGCTTTTCTAATTAAATAATGTCATAGTTTTGTTGCATTTTTTATTTTACAATTCAGTGCAGATTTTTGATGAAATGGGTAACAGTTTTACAAAAAAAAATTGATGATTTGCTTTCTCCAAAGATTCCTGTTTTTAACTAATAAAAAAAAAAATCACCCTCTTCAAAGTTTAATTTCTCAAAATTTCATGAAATTAAGTAAGTGGGTGGTAACATATGTAAAAAAAAAAAAACAATATTTTTTACCAAGATTTTCTAAAAAGAAAAAATTAAAAAATCATTTCATTCATTTCTGAATATATCCTGAAAGTTTCATTAAAATCTGACAATTATTTGAATTTTGCAAGAATTTCCAAATCAATGTGTTTTTCACCAGAAAAAAATGCAAAAAAAAAATTAACCTTTATCTTTGGTCTGCCGCTGGCGTAAACCAAACAAGATTTTTAACCAAAATTTACAACGTGTTACAAAGGAGTAAAAAATTTCAGAAGATAAAAGAATAATTTGGTCTTTCCTCTTATTAATAACATAAACATTTTGATGATAAAACTTTGTTTTTATTGAGTTTGGAGTTTTTTTTCATCATGCTATGCTGTTTTTTATGCGACCAAGTGGAGGTACCTATTTTACACTAATGTCTTGGTCTCTTTTTTTTTAATCTTATAAGAAGAATTAAATTTGACAACACATATTAAGGAAAGTAGAAATAAGTATCCAAGTTTTATATACAGCTAAAAAACAGTCTTGATAAGAACATTAGTAATGGAAAATGATTTGTTTGGGCAGGGTGGGGGGACTTATTGGAGGCAGTAAGAAGATTGAAATGTGATACAACTAAGACAAGAGTTAATTTAAAGTTTTTTTTTTTTTTTCATAAGGTGAGAAAGGATAAATTTGACTACTAATATTGACATGGGACTGTAGCCGAGATGACATAGACTACTTGCATAACAGAAAATGAGGATGTTTTTTATAAGAAGAGGAGGAATAGATTTGATCTCATATTGGGGTGAAGGGGTACATGAGGTGAAAGACAACTAAAACAAACAACAGAAAATCATTATAAAAAGGTTTGAGAGAAGATTGTTAAATAAACTGAAATTTCAACGAAGAAAGATGTGTTTTTCATCAACTACATAATTGAAACAAAAAAATGTCAATGATAATGTCAGAGAAAAGGAAAATTGCTAAGGAAAACCAAATTTTTAAAGAAAAGTGGAAATATTTGTATTTTGTGACAGATGTACAATGCTTGATATGTTTGCATAATATTGCTGTGTGAAAAGAATATAACATAAAGAGGCATATTATAACACAACACACACCATAATTAGTACGCTGCGATCACTGGAAATATAAGAGACGTAAAGGTTGAGCAGCTTAAGACAGCTCTTTAGCAAAACAAGTGAAAATGTTGCAAAAGCAAGTTTTCTTCTCATTGAAATGATTGGAAAATATTTGAATGTATCAGTGTATCACTGATTTAGCAAGTAATTCATACCAGCAATTGACTATCACTATGCAAGATTTTGAAAAGTTTTCAGTTGCACTTGTTGAAAGTGCAGACATTACAGGTACTGTTTATTACACAGTCTTTATCAGAGGAGTTGACAAAAAGTTCAATGTCATTGAAGAATTATTAGATTTACTACCTTTGAAGGGAAGGGTGACAGGATAGGATATATTTAGTTAATAGGAAAAGGGCATTCAACATGTAGGTTTGGATTAGTCAAAACTCATGTCAATGGCAAGAGAAGATGAACAGTCTTGGTAAGACTATTTCTGTTACCCATTGCATTTGGCACCAATAAGAACTGTGTTGGAAAACGTAATGAATGTAATTGAGAAAATTCAATTTGCATTCCTTGCTGATCTGACTGGACATCTTAACATTATAAACTTGAAGCTCTGGGGCCCAAAGTAGGTAATAACAATGTATGACAATGTGAAGGCTTTCAAATGTAAACTTTTGTTGTGGGTAAAGTAGCTTGTAGATGGAAACTTCATGTCATTGGAGAGGGTTGAATGACAGTGCTTGAAAGAATATGCAGATGTAATTTTAAAAGTGCATGCAGAGTTTCTGATGTTTTCAAGACTTTCTGGCATTAAAAAGGCAATTTGATCTTGGATGTTGATACTGTTTTTGAGGAATTTCAGATGGAGTTGGTGGAGCTTCAATGTGGCATGATAATTAAGCAAAAATGTGCAGAAGTTGATGTTTCTGATTTTTATGAGTTCCTTCCAAGTGAAGCATTTCAAAAATTGTTTCCCTCATCTTTGTACATTATGGCCATGTTTAGAAGCACATACGTTTGTGCACAGTTTTTCTCAGCAATGGACATAAGTGAATCTGCTTTGCACTCAAAGATGTATGAACATTTACATTCCATGTTGAGGCTGGTTAATTTACAAGATTTGAATCAAGACAGAATTCCTAGTTGCTGCAAAATGTTGCTAAAAATTGTCTTCAACATGAACAGTTTAGGGTAAAATTTACCTTCTGTATTCTGTTACAACACCAGGGTGTTATGGGTTGACCATTTTGCATCATTTACTTATCAGCTGAATGAAGGTGTTCCATTACTGGTGATCTATATTACTCAAACCCTCTCAGAAACCCAGTGAGTAATTGGCGCAAAATGATTGACCCACAACACCCCAATATTGTAACAGAGGACATGAGGTAAATTTTACCTTGTTTTGTATCAGATGAGGGTAATTAAAACTTTATTTAACTTTACCTCTAAGTTTGAATTAAGTAAAAGAAATCATATTTTTGTTCACGTTTTGTGCTAACATATTCAACTTACTATTATATACACATTCATTTTAATTAATAAATAACAGCCAATCAGGTGTATAGATTATAACTATAGCTGTTCAATATTACATTCCTTGCTCACTTTGTTTCTGGACAAAGACCCCTCTCCCATTTTTGCCTCCTAAATGCAAATCTAAGAAAAATCACTTCTGAGTCTTGTCTGGACTTGATACCCTCCCTCTGGAGTTGATGCCCTCCTATTGGTAATACATAGGCAACAGACCTGCTTCTGGCCTGCTGAACTTATCTTTCAGCGTGTAATGGCCATTTTGTGTCCATGAGTTTGAGACCCCTGTTGTCGACATTAAAACGTATATACACATTTGTATTCTTTCAATTACTAGCATATCCCAATATTCACTATCTGGTTTCAGTAGCTAGTAGCATTTATTCTGTTATTTATTTTTGTTGCAGTTTTCCTTATCTAATCTTTTGATACAGGCTGTAATTTTGATATATAATTGTTGTTTTGATTAATAGTTAAAGCATGAATTGAAAACAGAGATAGTTCGAGATGTCATCACTAAAACAGTTCAGCAGGTACTGGAAAATGCTCCAGGAAATCAGAAAGTGTCTGTAGAAGCTGCCAATCAGACAGGACCACAGATGCAAGACCAGCAGCATCATGGTCAGTACCCATTTCTCAATTTTGGATTGCAAAAAAATAAATGCTTTAAAGAAGCTGAAAACGCTTTGATAGTAATGAAGAAAAAAATAGAAAATATGTAGAAATTATTTGCAGAGAAATTGAAAAATGTAACAAAACTTAGGAGCCAGATCAGAACAATATTTTTTTCTTCCTTTTTGGAAGAGTGTTTGAGGTAGAAATAAATACTAGCTTGCTTGCAGAAATTATTTGGTCAGGATGGCACATAAATATTTCAATGTAGCTATTGGTGTAGCTGTTAGCATCTGGATCCCAGACTTCTGTAAGCACTAAAATACTTACACCAAAATCATCAATACTCTACTTCTATATTGTGTTGTCTTTGTGAAATTTATTCCCACAACTGACTTAACATGACTTCATTCTGGATTTCATCACTGCAACTTAATATAGTAATTCAATCCATAATAAAGAAAGAATTTATTTTTATGCTATGAAGTAAATGGTGTAATGGTATAAACCACTGGCCATGATTTTTGTTTGACTCCCCCTTTTTTCTCTTGTTTCTTTTGTGCATCTCTACATCTTTAAGCTACATGTTTAATTTGTTCTATTTTATAAGTTTGTCAATGTGTAAGAGTGGCTGATACCCAATGCTTCTGTTGTAACATGTCTGATTTGATCTGTATAACATGGAATATACAAAATCTTGAAAATTTACTTTAGTTGTTAAATGGGAAATATGGCCATTTGTTTACTACAATATCAAAAAGACCAAACAATTAAAAAATTTTTTAAATAATTATTTCTTTTGATATCATCCTTGTTATGAACAAAAATGTTTATTATTTTGTAAAACAAAACATTTTCAAATTGATCTGAGCTCATTTTGCTTTAAAGAAAATTCATTTTTAAGTGTTAGAATTTAAATAAGTCATTCTTATTATTTTCAGTACTTCATTGGCATGAGGGTGTTACCTGTGATGGTTGTAAACATACTATTGTTGGAGTGCGTTATAAATGTGGGTAAGTTGTTATTTTTATTTTAAAGTGGCTCATAGGTGTCAGCATTGGCATAACATTGTTAAGAGCATTTGTGTTTGGCTATAGAACTAGGAAAAAGAACATTTTTAAAAAATTTTATTCAGCATATAGAAAAGGCAAGTAAGTAATAAAGCCACTAAGATGCAAAGGGTTACTGAGAATGAAGGAAACTGAGAAAGTGTTACTGAGGTGGAAGGACAACAAAAGAACTGGATTCAAAAAGGCAAGATGACAACTGACATTGCATTTAATTTTTTTTTTCTGATTATAGATTAATCATGTCAGGGACAGTTTTTGTTATGAATAATTTGTAAATATTTAGAAAAAGAGGTTCTTTTTTGTAAATACTTAGTTGTTTTAAAAATTTTTTTAATTTTCTATTTTTCAGCAACTGTTTTGATTATGATCTGTGTGAACAGTGTGAAAACCAAGTTGGAGTGCATAATGCAAATCATGTATTTTTGAAATTGCGCAGACCTTGTCGCCTAGCTGGTATGATAAATGAGATGAAACCCCTTTTGCAATACATGCTCTACTCTGATGTGGCTGATCAGCTGCCACAATTTCAACAACAGCAACCTTATTTGGTGATTGACTATGAAAACATTCCAGATGATTTGCGCCGCCATTGCAAATATTCCAAGTAATAGCTTCTTAAATTTGCCTACTTTGCCTTTCTGCTTTAAATTTTAATTACTCATCATTTTAAAAAGTGGATTTGAGTATTTTTGAATGAGTATATCAACTTGGATATTATCAGTTTTTTTATGTAAATAATATAATTGAGAAGATTGTTTTGACAGTCAAATATCATGAATTAATTTGTTAATTAAAATTGACAGGTTTTAATTTGTAACCTTAAAAATTTTGTTATTTTTTTAAATGTTTAGGATTTATTGACTTTTTGTAGAAATGATTGATTTTTTAAAAATTTTTTCTAAATATTTTGAAAGTAATATTCAAACTTAATTGATATTATTTTATTCAGGACTCATGTGAAAATGGCCAAAATGTTGAATCGAAAAAAGAAAGAGGAGAAATTGATGGATATGCAGCGAAGGCATGAAGAAAAAGGCAAACGTTCATTCAAACAGTCACGGAATTTGCCAGTAAAAAAAGAACGACTTGATTTAGTTGACTCTGTTGAAAATATGGCGTGAGTACAGTGATGCTCTTTTTGCTTTACTGTCAGGACTTCATTCTTTAGGCAGGTTTAATTGGAGTTTTCAGTTTTTGTAGTGCATTAAAAATTCATATCAGTGGTTTAATCTATTGGATTTTATAGTAAAATATTTTGATGTTAATATGAAAATAAGTTTTTATTTAATAGAATAAAAACAATTATCAATAACATTTATTTCTTATTAGATTAATTAGAAGTTTATAAAATACCTGAAATTTTATACAGATGTCATGAGGATAACATTTATTCATACATGCATGTTATAATATGAAAACTGGACTATAGATTGCAAACTTGTTTACAATATCTGTAGAAAAAAGTCCTAATCCTTATTTTTTTTTTTTTTTTTTTTTTTTAAATCTATATGGAAATTAATGTTTTTTTTTTTTTTTTTAATGTTTTTCTAATTTACAACAGAGCTGCTTTTGTGAGAGATGTGACCATACCTGATGATACTAAGGTGCTGCCTTCTACTCAACTTGTTAAAACCTGGCGGATGAAGAACACAGGCAAATCAGCATGGAATATCAAGACTCTTGTAAGTGGTGACATAGTTTTCTATAAACACTTTCTAATTATTACATTCTTCAAAGTATAATCTGCAAGAAGGTTTTGTTGAGAAGGTTAACATTATTTCAATTATGAAATGTAGAGATAATAGAATATATATGCTTCTTATCCTAGAATGACTGACTATATCTCTTACTCTCTACACCTGATGCCCACAAAATTGGTAAAACTTAACACAGATATTAAATAGATTTTCTCCTAAGGCTTTTACTGAATAATCTGAATTATGAAAACGTTTTATCCCAGCTTATATAAATACAAATACCTCTGAAAGATGATTTTGATAATTGCTCAGTGAAAGGTACCATTATTAATTTTACACTGAGGAATTCAGTTACTTGCAATTTCTTAGGTCAAGTATGCTTATTTATGTATAAATAATTAACCATTAGGTAAATATCATCAGACTATTTACTTAGGAATTGAAATTAATGTAATATTACCTATAACCTTAAATTACAGTGAAGAATATTTCATGTCATAGATTACAAATAAATTTAGATTTTTCACCCCCATGAAAATAGACTGTATATTATATATATTTTAAATCTTTAAATACTCCCATTACTCTGGTTATGTCTTTTTCTATATGCTTTATCTCTCTCTCTTTATATTATATACTTTTATATGCTGTGTATAATTTAAATATTTCTTGAGCCCTGACAAAATTTATAAACTATCAACCTTAGTTGCTGTCTCATACTTTGAGAATGATATTCTCTTTTATTTGGTTGTTAATATTTGCTTTTTCAAATTATTTTTCTCATTTGAATAATTTATTGTTAACTCATGACCTATGTAAATTACACAGGTTTATTAATGTAGTGAACGAGATAATCAAGTACCCCGGAAAAAAGTTTGTGTTTTGTGTGCGATCTGCCGGGGAGGGATTGCCAAAAAGTAGTTAGCAAAACTCTTATAGCGACTTACCTCGTCAACCCAAGCGACAGCGCGTCGCGTGTATTCTGTGACGGAAAAAAGAAACAAGTCCGTCACAGGAGTTGCTATAAGAGGATATTAATATGCAAATTACGGAGCATCCTATCCCAGCTGTCGACGAATGGAAAAAATAGGTTCTGCTGATAAAAGCAGTTGGTGTTGTCGACTCTGGGAAGGAAAATTCGGGCAGTTTTGGCTACGGCGTTCGTGAGTTATTTTCCTGACGCGTTACAAGTGATTTTCTTTCTTTGTGTTGTGAAAGCCACAAATTTGCTTTGAGAACGCTTACTCTTCAAGCTATTTTGGCATTTACTTTGTCTCTTGCAAAATGGTGGAAAGACCGTTCGACATAAAACTGATCCCCGAATTCAGTGGTGATACTAGTGGACAGTCTGTGGTTGAATGGATCGAAAAGGTGGAACTGGTCTGCGAATTATGCGAGATATCGAAGATTGATCGGATTCTTCCTCTGCGATTGAATGGCGGTGCCCTTGCTGTGTATAGGCAGCTGAGTAAAGAACAGAAAAGTGACATTGAGCAAATAAAGCATCTTGCTGACTTTGGGCTCGAATGTAAAAACCCAGAACGACTGGAGGATGGTGCTTGGCTTGCAGGTCTGGGGGGAGCACAACATGCTTTACTGGAAACGTGGAAGCGAGCTCCCGGACATTCCCAAACACATGACCCGACGCAGCGTGTTTTCGTTATGTGGAAAGCTGGTGGGACATTTTCCCGTGGATCTGCATTGCAACTGCATTTATTAAACGTAGGGTGACTGCTGTCACTTCCGGCTGGGATGACACAACAAATGATGCTCCCCTTAGACACATGATAGCGGAAGTCATTACTAGGGTTCGTCAAGACGACCCCGTACGTAGTAAATGGTGCGTTGACGGATGTGAATTTAACGTCTGGGTCGACGCGAGCTCCCTTGCAACAGGAGTGTCTCTTGAAGTAGGTGACACTGTCGTGGAAGATGTGTTGGTTGCGTTCCGAGAAGGATATGCAACATATCAACCTGTTAGAATTAGACGCTGTTATCAGGGGAGTCACCGCGGCCCTTCATTGGAATGCAAAGGTATTGCATTTATTCACGGATTCCGCATGCGTGTATAAGTTGATAGCAGACACTCTTACGGGGAAGGCTAGGATACGTACAAAGGCTGCGAGTGAGATGCTCATTCAAAGGAGGTTAGTCACACTGGGAAAGTTACACACTGGAATACCACTTATCTGTAGACATACAGCTGGTCAGATCACAGCAGAACAAGGCCGATACTTTAACAAGGGTACCCCAAAAATGGCTTGACGCTATTAAGAAAGAGGTAGAGCCGGTAGGACATGTCTGTGTAACATCAGCGAGCAACTATAACTCAGATTTACTAAAATCTGTGCATTGCCAAAGCGAACATTCCGGTGTAAAACGGACCTTATATTTTGTGAGGCAGATTTATCCCTCCGTATCCAAAGCTGCTGCCAGGGCAGTGGTCAGAGGATGCAAGGAGTGTCAGTCCATCGACCCAGCACCTGTGCAATGGCAAAAAAGGACAAGTGAGTGTAAGCAAGGTGTGGCACCGTGTTGGAATGGAGATCACCCATTATAATGGACATCACTATTTAACCCTGATTGACTGTGGCCCAACCCGGTTCACTATTTGGCAGCGTCTGCGTCGACAGGATTCCGCAAGTGTCATTGACCACTTGGGGTCATTGTTCTTTGAACGTGGACCTCCGACGGAACTCCTCACTGACAATGACACTGCATTCCGCAGTGGACTATTCAAAGATTTTGTGGCTTCGTGGGGAGTACACCTCAGATTTCGCTGCGCGTATGTCCCATCAGGGAATGGCATAATCGAGCGATGTCATCGGAGCATCAAAAGAATCGCTGCTAGGAAGCAGTGTTCCATAATGGAGGCGGTGTATTGGTACAATGTTACTCCGAGAGACAATAATGTATCGCCCTCAACTGCGCCAGCCAACATGATTTATCAGTACAAAGTCCGGCTACGAGGCATTGATGCAACGCGTTCAACTAAACGGATAAACGAACGAGCGCCGTATGACTTGGCGATCGCGTGTGGGGGTGAAATCTCCACATAGCGGTGTACAACCCGGTACCGAGTGGGGCATGTCACTGGACTAAGTAACTCGCGTTCTGTGCTGATTGATGGCATACCAAGACACATAAAGGACTTGCGTCACTATGTAGGTACAGATACGTCAACAAGTGACACTAGCAGTGAGTGCTCAGAAAGTGAACAAATAATTACCATCGGAGGTAGGGCTTCAGCACCTCTTCAGATGATGAAGACTCTTTCAGAACATTCTTCAGATGATGTTGCGCAGATTGTCAGAAGAAACCTCAGAATATAACACACAATCTCCTCCAACAGTTGCCCGCTCTGGAGAAGCTTAAGAATAAAGAGGCCCGCCCATGACTGTCACTTATGTGACAGGGGGAGTGTAGTGAACGAGATAATCAAGTACCCCGGAAAAAAAGTTTGTGTTTTGTGTGCGATCTGCCGGGAGGGATTGCCAAAAGTAGTCAGCAAAACTCTTATAGCGACTTACCTCGTCAACCCAAGTGACAGCGGCGTCGCGTGTATTCTGTGACGGAAAAAGAAACAAGTCCGTCGCAGGAGTTGCTATAAGAGGATATTAATATGCAAATTACGGAGCATCCTATCCCAGCTGTCGACGAATGGAAAAAAATAGGTTCTGCCGATAAAAGCAGTTGGTGTTTTCGACTCGGGGAAGGAAAATTCGGGCAGTTTTGGCTACGGCGTTCGTGAGTTATTTTCCTGACGTGTTAACAACTTACAATGATTTTTAGAATATGAGTTATATCAATGAAACAATGAAATCATATCAATTTATATATGTTGATAGAAGCATGGAATGCAATCAAGTTGATCGCAAATAAGCATATTACATACATATGTACACATGCGCAAATAAGCATATTACATACATATGTACACATGTTTAGGTCACATGAGAACATAAGCAAAAGAATGGAATTCCTAATAGGTTCATAAATATTTAAAGAGAAACAATGGTAAAAGTTACTATACCAATAGTCCACTCTTAGTGGGATACAAAGATAGACTTGGATCCTGCATCCATGTCTATGGGAGACTCTGCAAATGCAGAACTAAGCAATCTTTTGACTGTTCCCTAATGTCACTATAGAGCAAAGTAATTAGTATCACATTACTTCGTTATACACAATATTTCTAGTATACAAACAAACTATGTTGATCATATATAAAGAAAATGTAGGTTGACATAGGGGTTTAAATAAACTTTCTTTTTCACAAAATAACCACAGATTATGTTAATTTGTGACCCAAAGATATGTAATATCATAGAAAGATCAATTTTGGCTGAGCAGTTCATGAGTTAAAATTGGTGCAATAAAAAATTCTTTTTAAATTGAACTACCATCAAGGGACCAAAACAAACCAACCTTTTTATTTATTATTTATTTATTTTGTTTGGGACATTTTCAAAAAAAAAATCATTTCTATCACTTAAGATCATGATAATCAAAAGAAATTGTTTCAGTTTATTAATAATTAAAAAAAATTACTAGTGGTACCTGTGAAAATTTCATGACTCCTGTTTGAATTTTATTTTTTTCTTTCTCACTGAAATTAAACATTGTTTCTGAAATCTCTTTTCCATCTTTCCTCAATCAAAATGGAACAGTTAATTATTTATGAGGTATTGGCAGAGCATTTCTTTAAATCAAAAAGTGTCACTGATATGTCTTTTCTGTCTTTTTATGCTATCAAAATAGAATAGTCCATTATTTATGAGGTATTGGCAGGGTATAATGTATGTACATAGTGACTAAGTAACTAAGGGAAGGATAAGCAGAATTATAATAAGATGCTTTAACATGTTATCTTTCCACACAAAATCAGTGTTGACATTTCTTGATAAAATATTCTGAAAATATCTTAGTATTTAATAAGAAAATGTTTTAATATAAATTTTGAAATGATCATTTGCAATGTATCT